CATTGATTGGAAATTAAAGATGATAGAAGTGCTTTTATTATTTTTGTTGGTGATGATCTACAACTCTACTATTTTGTGCAAACCTCTCTATTACTCACTTAGGGCCAAATTACTGTGGCGACAGAACAGGAAAGCCCATAATAAAATACAGTAAAAATGTCAGAGAGGAATCAGTTTCAGCCAGGCACGTGTATCCTACTGGTGCTCACAGCCCAGCCGAAGGTTCAAGCCTTTAAGTCCCAGTGCTGTTCCTTTTTGCAGCAACATGCAGCAGGATGTTTGCAGCATGTCACTTCTCCAGCAGTGGGAACACAGCAGCCTCTTCCCTGGCTGCAAAGAAGGACTGTACTGCCTGGGGTGAAAATGGATAAGTCAGTCCCCACTCTGCTAAAAGTGGAGCTGAGGCTTGTGTTAGCCTCATTGTGTGTTCTGCTGATAGCTGAAATGTTCTCTGCAGTTCAAAATTCATATTTTTGCTCTCCTAATTATCCCTTAGCTTAGCTTCTGATATTGGAAAATTATCCTCTAATTCTCTTCCTTTAATCAGATGGTTTATATTTTTAAAAATTCTTGATTATACTCATTTTCATATCCCCACTTAAACATAGTTAGCATTTGCTGACCTCTATCCCATGTTAAAAGAGCGATGAATTGACTGCAGTCACTCCAGCTGTTCATTAAATATTTTCCACATTTCTAGAGTGGATTATTCATTCAATATGGGATTTAAACTTCAGTATTTGAAAGATTCCTTTTTTAAAATGTTCTTCACACTTATCCATCCAGGCTTTTGACACTTAAAATGATGTAATTGCAAGATCTGAGGTGCTTCTAAATAAAAAGTCATTTCACAAACACTTATTTTCTGACGGTGGGACATGGAGCAGGCTGTGTTCATACACACTGCTCTACAAATTTGAATGACTCCTGAACTATATCTCAGAACATCATCTCCCTTCACCTCATGTCTTCTCCTCTTGTGAAAGATAAGGAATTAAATGCCTTCATCCAACCTTTGGGGGAGTATATCTTTGAATATCTAAAAGGTTTTGTTTACACTTGCTCTGAATGTTTACAGCAACATTCTGACCTTTGGTAATGCCCATTGCTCCTGAACCATGTCCACACTTTTGATGATTTTTTATCAGTCTTCTCTGAGAAGTGCTGTCCTCAGTTATGGGGTACATTAATTTCATTAAGGACTCAATTCAGAACTTTAAAATATCTGGAGAAATTATTGACAAGTTTGTTTAAAAAAGAGCCGAAGAGCAAAAAAATCTAGTATTACACATGGCTTATTATTTTTCCAAGCAAAAAGCTTTCTTCTAATTTTCCACAGAATTAATTTTTTACCTGAGCAATCAGTGTTAAAAACATGTATTTGAGGCTTCAAAACCAAAATCTGTTTATCTGGGTTCACACAGCCCTTCTTTACGTCCTTTTTTGGATAGTAAAGCCATTAATGGAATATTGATATAGAGGAAAAAAAGTCAAGGACTAAGAAGAGAAAAGAATCCTTGTGTTTATCACTAGCTCACTCTCAGACAGACAAATTCTTTCCTTCCTTTGAGGAGGACAGCAGTATATGAAAAAAAACCTGCCTAAACACTGAGGACATTTCTTTGGAATGCTGAATAAAAGTGGCAGCAAAATCAAAAGACAAATTGCCCCCAGGCACCCCAAGTGTACTAACGGCTGTCTGAGAGCCCAGAGAAGCACCTCAGACACAGCACTTGCTGCTCTCCTGGGGTAACCAGCATGCAAGTATGACAGAGGGGAAAAAAGCATTTTTGACAAAGTACCAGGTGCTCACCAGAACAAGCCCCAGTTGTAGGACTGGGGCAAAATAGCAGCCATAGGGTGGAGGCAAAACTGGCCAGAAAGCTGTGCTAGGAAATTAGTTATCAGTGTCAACCATCAAAATAAAAGGATGTATTGAGAAGGATTTTCCAGGAGTCTGTTCTCTGTCTGGCTTTATTCAATATTTTCATTAATTTGGATGGTGGAATAGAGATTGCATATTTGCATCTGACTCTAACCAAGCAGGAGATGGAAGTGATTAGGAGGTCAGGAATCAGATTCTGAATAAACTTCAGGAACTGCCTGAAAAAACCAGAAAAGTTCCACATTAATTTCTGCATTTCAGCTGCTTAAATACAGAGTGGGAAATGATTGACTGCTTAAGAGCTTTGCAGGATCTGGAGTTGTCACAATCTGAATGTCAGCCAATGACATCATGTGGCAGCAAAAAAAAAAAATCCCAACGTGCTGGAATGTGTAAACAGCAGGGTCATCAGTAAGACATACAGAGCAATCCTTCTTTATTTGGGGCTGATAAAGCCTCAGCTAAAGCACTGAGTCCATTGAGGGACTGATTTGCACTCAAGTTGATATGAAGCATGAGCCCTAATCAGGACATACCAAAAGAGCAGTTGGAGGAAATGGGATGGCCAGAAAAGGAAGACTGAAGGAACTGATCAACAATCTTCAAAAATGTAAAGACCAGGGCAATAAGGAGGGCAACAGACAATTGAAACTCTCTCTTCAATGTAAAAGGTGTATACATCTTAAAGCAACTTTTACAGACCACTTATCTGTCCTGTAGTTACTGTGGCTCAAAAATAGCAAAAGTTTCTAAAAAGTTATTGATATATTACTTTTGTCTATAAAATCTGTGCTCTTTATTTCAGGAAAAAAACCTTGAAAAGTAGGCATCGTTTGTAGGACATTGATCAATTCATCTTCTAGTTATTTCATTTTAGACTTGCTTCCTTTATTCTTTCTCACTGACATCTATGACATTAACCTCTTTCATCACATTACTTTTACCTTGCATGCCACATACTGTCCTTCCTCCTCCAATCCCTGAAAGCCCTGTTAATATATGAACAAATTTCTGTCGGTTTTCCATTGCTGTGGACCCAGGCATCATTCTCAAATTATTTGACTTCAGTGTCTGGTATACTCATCAGCCATGAAATATCATTTCCTTCACCATAAGGAATGAGAAGACATCTCCCTTTCCTCTAACCCAATTCATTCAACTGGGCTCACCACAACATGGTCCTCTCCTGAACACCTGACTACATTGCTGTGTTTGAATGCTTTTATGTTCCTTTGGCATGATGAGTGACAGCATTTCTTCCTTCAGCACACTTGCAGGACCCAGAGCACATTAACCATTCACAGCAGTACAGTTCTGCCATCCTGCTGAGAACTTCCTTCAGGCCAGGAATTGCAGTACAGCTCCCTGTCCAAGCACCTAAGCTTCTGGTCCATGGTCTTTTCCCCAACTTTATTTCATGAGCACGGCAGTGAATAACTCACATATGGGGGGGATATAAAGTAGTGGAAATAAGTAGCATTCATGTTCCATTGGAACTACCTTTCTGTTTGAGGTGGTGTGAGAGATGCACTGAGCAATGAAAAACAAAAATAAAATACCTCCCATGTCCTGCCAAAGGTTATCATTTCCCCAGGCATGCTATTGGGTATAGCTCCATCAGGATTGCAACACATTTACTGTGAAGGTACAGAAATAAAATTTTAAAATTAAGTCAGTGTAAAATGAGACTGAAATATTTTTTAAGAAAGCTACTTTTTTTTTAAACTTTAATTTGCATAGAAGACACTAAATTTAGTGTTCTATGAATACAATTCTGTCTTCAAAACTTGCACATTATCTAAGTAATAAATACAAAAACTTCATAAAAAGTGAAGCATTGTTGTTCATTGATTAAGACACCATCCATTTTGTAAAAGCTAAAAATTCAGCTTCATTTTACATTTCTGTACCTTCATATTTATACTTCAAACAGTATCTTTTAACAGTATAAAACATACTGTTTTATACTAAATAGATAATTTTTCACTTTATACTTTTAAAAATGATTGTTCACTACATTTTAACATGGCTCTATAATAAACATATCTTACAGAAAGTTCATCTCACTGGTTCAAATGGAGTGCCATTGTCTGCAAGGTCTCATTTCAAAATTATTGTGCTTTTATCCTTTTTGTCATGCCACAGGTTGTGAAGTCCAAAATATTTACCATTCTGATTGTCAGACTTTCCTTCACAGAGATGTCTGAGTGAAGACAAAATAGACAACTTGTTTTGTTGAATCAATAGAGGCATATTATCACAGCAAGATTATAATTCAGGTGTACAATACCTGCATTTTACAGCGCACAAAACTGCAACTGCCATGTGCTGTGTGTCACAGTAGGTAACTAATATCAACAAAGTACCACCAGTCTATGTTCAAATACTGTTGTATGGGCCTAACTTTCATCCACAAAAGCAAGGCAATTCAAAGTTAAGGGTAAACTCTATCCATAATCCTCTCTCTTCAGGAATTGCTTTGTGAATGCAGCTGAATTCTCATCTCAGGCCTTTGCAGCTCCATGTTGCCACACAAACGGTGAGAGAAGGCAAACCTACTGTTACACTTACATGCAGATTCCTATCAATTGCTTTATAACTGGTAAGGATACCATCTACTGGCATTTGTATTCACTTGAGGCCAAAACCTGAGGCTTTGGAGACAGACTATGATCATCACACACGGTGTTTGGGATGAACAAGTTTAGGTAAGTATTTCTCTTTGCTGGCTGGGGCATACTGGAGTTTTGGGTTTGCAAGGCCAGGTTTTCATTACAGGGGGGCTATAAAGTTGGCTGCTGAGAGAAGCTGCCAGAAGGCTCCTTCATGTCCAGCAGAGCCAATGGCAGCCAGCTCTGTGAAGGATGTGCTGCTGGTCAAGGCTGAGGCCATCAGAGACGGTGGTAACACCTCTGCGGTAACATATTTGAGAAGAAGAAAAAAAAAAGTTTTAGGGCAGTTTTAATTGTGCTCAGAGAAGAGCAGACTGAAAATATGTAAGAAGAATATCCCTGCAGATACTAACGTTGGTGCAGGAGGAAGAGGAGGTGCTCCAGGAGCTGGAGCAGAGATCCCCTGCAGCCTGTGGTGCAGCCCATGGTGAGGCAGCTCTGTCCCTGCAGCCCATGGAGAAGCTCCATGCCAGAGCTGGGTGCCTGGGAGGAGGCTGTGAGCCCATGGGATGCCCAGGATGAAGCAGGCTCCTAGCAGGGACCTGCAGATCCATAGGAGAAGCCCATGCTGGAGCAGGTTTCCTTGTAGGACTGGTGACACTGTGGGGGACCCACGCTGGAGCAGGCTGTGCCTCAAGGACTGCACCCCGTGGAAGGGTGACCCACACTGCATCAGTTTGTGAAGAACCATTGCCTGTGGGATGGATTCATGTTGGAGAAGTTCATGGAGAGCTGTCTCCCACGGGAGGGACCCCATGCTGGAGCAGTGGAAGGACTCTTCTCCCTGAGCAACATCAGGAACAACTCGTGATGGACTGACCATAACCCTCTCTTCCCTGTCTCCTTAACCTGCTGGGGGGGAGGAGTAGAGCTGGAAGGAGGGAAGGGTGAGGAAAGATGTTTTTAAGATTTATGTTGCTTCTCTTTACCCTGCTGTGATTTTGTTAGTAGCAAATTCAGTACCTATCCCCAGTCTGAGTCTGTTTTGCCCATGTCAGCATTTGGTGAGTGATCCCTCCTGGCCCTTTTCCTTCATTGTATTTTCTCTCCCCCATCCAGTTGTAGAGGGAAGGGATAGAGGAACTTTAATAAGTGTCTGGCATCCAGTCAGAGTCAACCAAAACACAGAGGTAGGAAAACATTCATTTTGTGAGCTTCTTGTGGCAACAGGAGCAGACAATCTTTCATTGATTTCTGCATCTTTTTGACCTGCCATTATGAGGAGACCTGAAAAAGATGGAATATAAGTCCATGTTGAAACCAAAATAAACTGGCACCAGTGGTTTTCAGTATCAAGAACCTTTCTCTTCAGCCTGTGATTTTAAGCAAACAAGAACACAATGTAGGAAGAAAAATGGTCTATTTCCAGCTGATGATACAGAGGGAAGTATAACTAATGCCATCATACCTGAGTTAAGAAATTTGTTTATATAATAAAGATCAGATTTCAGGCTTGGAAACAAAGGTTGTTTGTGAAAACTGACTCATCATGACTATGTGTTAGTCCTACTGCCAACATTTTTTGCCCCTGAAGGATGCATCTGCTACCAGGGCCTTGCATGTCCCACTGTTCAAAGTCTTATTTCAGGAGATCAAATTCTGCTCCAGGCTGCCCCACTTCTTAAGAATCTTAATTGCTTGCAGCTTTCTTTGTAGTACTGTTAGGACTAGGATTTTGCAGCTTGTCCAGAAATTTTGGAGTTAGCAGAAAGGAGAAACTCTATGTTTTTCACAGGGTGTAGCTGTACCATGGAAACATGGGATGAGAGCACGCTGGAAAGAGCATGCTCCTCCCCAGGGGCATCTTTCTACTTGCACTATTTAACTACATATTTTTTTTCAGTGCAGGTTTCAATTATATCAAACCTCTGATTAACTAGTGGCAGAATGTGAACCAGTAGGGATAATCTGTATCTGCACAATCTGCCATAATGAAGAACTTCATAAGCACCAATATAGCAATCTCAAGCATTAGGACACCTTCAATTTTTGACTCAAAAGAGGCCTGGCACTACAGTTTCACACTTTCTCGTAAACTTCTCCTTCAAGCAGCCTACACTCTCAAACTTCTCGTTCTCCTTCAAGCAGCCTAGCTATTGCTGGAAAAAACAAAGCCATGATGGGAGCTGGGAGATGACAAGATAATACTGCACAACAAATTAAAACAGAGCTAGAACTCTGTACTGCAGAGGTATTCATCCTTTTTATTGCCTCGAAGAACAAGCCTATTCTTCTAACAGATTAGTAAACAGTACATTCATCTTTCAGAGACCTTCAGTGTGTCTGCAAGGCTCGTGATGTAGAATAATGTAGTTAAAAGAAAATACATGGAAATTTTAGTAAAAACAGATACTGAAGTATTGTAGTTGCTTACTTTGTCTCTGCTATGAGGTAGATCAGAGAAGTTTTTTGTGTCACTTCTATTTTGAACCTATTTTGTTGCCGAATATGGGAAAAGATTAGTTTGCTGCTCATTGTGCCATTTGTTTTGTGATTCTATGAAAACCCCCTTAAAGTCTGCATGCAAAACCAATGAGGTAGAACATGTTTGACAAGCTTAGTTCCAACTTGACCAATGTAGCAGGAAAAGACTTAAAAATCATTGCCTCTCCTCAATAACAATAGTACATACAAGTGTTTACAAGAGGATTAAAGGCTGCTTTAGCAATTTGTATTAAAGATTCCCGTATCAGACAAGTTTTATCACAAAACCTGTTGGAGCACTATGCAGCTGATCAGATGCAAACAGAAGCAAGTTATGCTACTGACTTTATTTTACCTGCTTTAAAAGGATGCTCGATGTATCTGCAAATACACACCATGTGTACAATGAGCCATACCTATTGACAGCCTGCCCAATTACAACAACAGCAAAAAAAGCTCCACAAGAAACGACCCCTAGCACCTGGTAATTAAAATTGCTAATCACCAGCAATTATCTGGCACAGCTTTATAGCCAGGCAAAACAGTCTGACCCTTTGCCCATGGAAAGGAGAATGTTTGCTGTCTATTGATAAGTGCTTAGGCAAAGCTGTGTTCGGCTCACATCCATTAAGTGGCGCCTAATAGGAAGTCAACAAAGGAGCTCTGACATCTGTAGTGGGCACTTCTGGCAGGCCAGGTTTGGGAGCACAGGTGTCCAATGGGCTCCTGCCAAGGACCAGGGTACGGGACATGGGGAGTTTTTCTTGAAAAGAAAACTTGAGCTGACAATGTTTCCCAATTGGCTCCTCCACGACCAAAGAGTAAATGCAGTATGTTTCCAGGACAAAGATTAAAATAATTACTCTTGTCAGGAGTGGTGGCTTGTTTTCAAACTGTCTGCATGCATTCAAACACAAAGAGGTAAGAAGTCCAGGAGGCTCAGTAATTTAGGTAAAGATTGTTCTTTGGTCTATTTCTCTTCTTATAAAGTATTGAGTTAAATATATATAAAAAATGTTTCTCTAGTGTGCTCTTTAAGTCTGATAAAGAGTTTGAGATAATAAGGTTTTGTTTTTTTCCATATGACACTATTATGCTCAAAGCTATAAAATACCCTTCCATTGTTATAGCTCCAGGAAGATGCTGCTAGAGATAATTTGAACTACAATAAACAGTGCCATTAAAGCTTCTGATCTCACCAATGACTCTTCTAAGGCACTAGATAAAAAGATCAGGTTTGGTTTTAGTTGGGTTTTTTGTTTTTGAGAGAGAAAGAGAGAGAGAGATAGAAACCCTGGCAAAAATATTGCAAGCTTCTCATAATGAAGCAACCTAAAAAACCTGAAGGACAAAGCATCCCTTAAACACTTAGGAATGCAAATTTCTCCAAGAACAGGCATCAGTAGAGATTACAGAGCCAGGAGCTGCTGAAATCCAGAAGCAAACCTCAGTACCCTCATTCCTTCATGAGGCTTTGGGGGAATCTTGGCAAGTTGGAGTTTCAGGGCAAAAGGAAATTTACAGACACAAGCAATTTGGAGGTATTCTGGCTTGTACATTCCATGACTTTTCCTGCACAAAATGTCAGAGCCCCCCACCTTGTACATCTTTATATTGTGATATGTAAAATCTGAAATATTTTATAAATGTGAAGCAACATTGATGGCATGATATTTGGCAGTATCTCCTAATCCCAAATAATTAATTAAGTAATTAAAAGTGTTCTCTCCCTTTGTAATTCTTTCTTAAGTCCACCTCTCAAGCTGCTTCAGGTTACAGGGTTTGAAAACAACTTAATTTTCTCATTACCATGACACGAATAATGCAGCCACAACTTGCATCTTTGCAGTTGTTTGCTTTGGCAAAGTCTGCATCCTGGCTGGATACCTCTTGTCTGCAAAGGGCATCTTACAGAACGTGGTGTTGCTCCTTTTTAGCCCATACACAGAAGTCACTTTGCTGGAGAAAAAGCAATGTTTCAATGGGCTCATACATCTCACTCCAACACAGACTTAAAATGCAGGTAGGGTCTGCATCCCAGCCTAGCAGCCTGGAATCACTTTTTAGCTCTCCAATTTAACTCTAGCCCAGGAGTTCTCAAAGGCTCTTTACAAAAGCCAGTTGGAATAATCTAAATAAAATTTCAGATAAAATCAAAAATAAATAAATCACCAGGCTACTTCTGTATTCCATATAGATTTCTGCCTTTGTAGAAAGTAAAATCTTCCACTTTAATTTTGGCACATGCATGGAACATTTTCTACTAGATTCCAATTCTTGATCATTGGTATTACCATGAGATTGTTCTCTCCTGCAGTTTGTAAGCTCCCACCAGTGTGAAAGAGCAGGATTTCTCTTTGACAAATCTTTTGTGAAGTCAGAAATGAATGAAGTCACTGGAGATACACCTACTTACAAGCTTGGGTTGTAAAGTGCAAAACAAGATGAAATGATAGATCATAAATTCTGTCATTGCTTGACATTCAGATTCTTCTGCCTGCAAGTCTAATTCCGTAATGATCCACAGCAGAAGAGCATGCTACCGGATTTGTGCAGAATATCTATCACAGAGTAAATTACATTGCATGATTCTTCTATGGGTAAGCTGACATGATGAAAAATATGAGGGAGAAGAGGAGGAGTGGCTTTTCTGATGCTCTTTGGCATTTGGAGTCCATGAAATACGAGTGGATTTCAGAATGTTCTATTCAAATTGGGACATCATGGTCATCCGGGCTATGAAAACACATCTGTCTGCCTACATTTCTGCTGTACAGTGATTTTTAATACCATTGTCCAAAACACAATCTAATGGAATGGCCAGTGGGGATAGATATTTAGTTGATTTTTGTTCCATTTTTGAGAGGCTGAGTCTTTAGGGGTCATAGTACCATAAGCAAAGGACTACAGGAAATTATTCCCATCTTTAAAAACTGTGTGCTCAAACAAAACTAGATGATGGTGGTGAGGAGCTAATATGCAGCTTGTGTTACCAATCATTTCATTTCCATTTCATGTATAATATGCTTAGCCCAGAATTGATGCACAAAGTTCACCAAATCACTGTTTCTCAATGGTTTTCTCCTTTCTCTGTGTGTAATTCCAAAACAAAACCAACTTACCCACTTCTGCTTCAGGTGAAAGCCTGTCTATACCCCACAGGTCAATGAACCCATTCTGGGCTTCCTTGGAAGAGAAACTCAGAGTCAAGAGTTTTCCACTGAAAGTGTCTTGCTAGAAACTGCTGAACAATTAAACCTGGGGAATCCCTCTTCAAGTGCCTGTTGACCTCTTCTGCCTTGGGGAGGAAGAAGAAATGAAGGAGGTAGATTTCAAACCATTTAACTGCTGCACTCCACACAACAGTACTGTTGAGCTGTGCTAGTGTAGACACAGCCCTGGGAAGTGCCTTGTCCCAGGATGGCACATCTCAGCTAGAATATCTTCTAGTGGTTTCCCTGTCAGCCCCAAGGATACACCCAGCAAGAGGAAATACTCCACTCCAGAAATTGGTAAGGCAATGCCTGTCTGACCACACCTCACTCACAATTCACACAGGGTGAGAAACACTTCTGTACTGCCAGCACTTCGTGGAAAGACAGGCAAATGCTCACCAAGACACCAAATCTCTCTTCCTCCAGGATATACATGTTCCTGCAGATTCCTTCTTCACCACCAACTCTGTCTTGCTCAGATTAAAACTTCGTGAGTTGGTTCATACCTTCATCTTAAGCTTGGTCAGGCTTTTGATGGGCGACAATGATGTTCCTCCTGGACTGGACAAACAACTGCTAAGCAGGACCATGTTGCCACGGTGGCTCAAACTGCTTCAACATCTCCCCTACCAGAAGTAGGACACATGGAATCATAAAATAAAGAGAAAGGTGAAGAAACATACCTGGGATGATGATTTGTCCTGCTACATCTTGGTTTCCTCATTGACTATCAAATATTAGATGTCTGGCATATACTATGCCTTTTTCTCAGCCACTGCCCTGGCAATACCCTACAATTCCCAAGGCACAATTATAGAATTTTCTTAATAACATGTATCTTTACCTTTCTCACATACATTTTAGTGACTGGAAACCATGGGGGTTTGTTACCAGCTCAGTTATCTTGTGCTTTAGTTGCTTGTGGTTACTGAACAAGTTGTGCAACTCATTCTACTTGACATGCTCCAGAACCTTCCCTTGACTTGCTCCTGTGGCCTTTTTTTTTTACCTTTGCTATTTGAAGAGACAGAGAGAGTAAATGAGGAGCCCCCTTGTTACCTAGTGCTCCCTAGTGTACAGAGTGGCTCCCACCAGACTGAAGCAGACATGGTTGATCCATTCATGCGGCAGGAGATGAATACCAAGGTGATTTGGTGGCCCAAATTAAACGGTCAATCAACATCAAAAGATTCAGTAGAGCTGGAATTATGTGGACCTGGGTTTGGCCAGGCATCTCACACAGCTTCTGCAAGTCAAACACCCCTTGCCAGCCACAGCAGGGACAGAAGCGGGATCTCTTCTAGTATCTGTACCTTCCCATCCATGGAAATGTCTCCAGAGCATAAAAAGGTGGCTGAGCCAGTCAGGTCACAAGGACAATGCTCCCGTGGAGGACAGCAACCCCCATGGCTGCTACCTCTCAAGAAGACCATCTCTGTGAAGAAGGGTTTGTTCGACAGATGTCAGGATGAGACAGCCCCTAGTACACAGGGACCTCAAATCTTTCTGTGCCTGTTTGCCAAAATCTTCTAGCTCTCAGGGTTTCAAATCTCTATGGCTTCTTCCTAGTCCATGAGGAAATGGAACAAGACCCTAACAGAAGATGGAGGTTAACCAGAGATGGTAAAAAGTGTAGATGTTGGACTGATCTGTCTCACCAGCTCTCTAAATCTGAAGGCAAACCAAACTAGACTTTTCAGACCAGTAGTACAAATACAAAAATCTGTCACCAGTGTCCCAGGCTCAGCTGCAACATTTTCCTGGTATTCTGTCAGAAGGTGGAAAATGACTCCACTGAAGAAGCTTAGCACCTTATTTCTGTTCAATGCAAAATAAATCCCTGGCCAATAAACTAGTTTTTAAGCTCAATACACTCCATTTCAGAGTTTTAGGACAGGGAGATCCTATGTCAGTGAATGATGATGCAAAAAAATTTCTTCAGAGAGCTTAAATGGAACATTGTAATTGAGACATGGAGACTTTGCTGAGGAATGTTGTAAAGGAAACAGCTCCAGTAAACAGTGAAAAAGACTGCAGGATGTGCTAAAAAAAATACAAGTGTTGAAATTAGTTAAAAATAAGAATAAATTAAACATAGGATGTGGAATGGGAAAGAAAGCCAAGAAAAAATGTTAATAAAAGGTATTGGATGAAAGCCCAGAATAGAAGTACAACAAATACAAACAACAAGCAAATGTACACATAACAGGGTGAAAATTAGTCTGTCTTCCCCTTGCATGCAGAACTGAGCAAATAGAGCTACAGGCAATTTTGAAGAATGGCAGCTCTGAAGCATCCAAAGTATAAACATTTCTGTCAGGTCAGCAGCCAGAGAGAGAGAGCCTGAAGTGAACCTGTGAAGTACCCAGAAGGGAGGTGATGCACAAAATGGTACAATTCAAATACTCCATGCACATCTTTTGAGGACCTCTCAACATGGTAGTGTAATGAAAGTCTCAGAACAAGTTCTCTATCTTACTTGTTATGAAAATGCCTCTCCCTAAAAAGTTTTGTAAACCATAAAAGGGCCTTTACCCAAGATCAGCAAAACAATTTTCAGATGTTCTTTTTATTTCATAGAGACAAATAATTAACAGTTACTAGTTATACAATGAAATCTCTTCTTTTCTGTCCACTAAATATTTGTACTACTTCAGATTAATTTGAAAATGTCAAACAATTAACACTGAATATTGTTGTTTATGCTTACTCTAAATAATTTGTGACCTCTTTAATGCATTCATATCCAGTAGTCAGAGTTGGAATTGTGAGCTTTAGTTTGAGCTTGGTCATAATATTATATTTCCAGGAAATATATATGTTTCTTGGCTTGATGAGAACCACTTCTGCAACTGAGAGAGATTTTACAAGCTTCTGTAGATAGGCTGTATTTATATAGGATTGAAAGATTTACATAATTGCAATCCTTCTTTTCCCAGCCTAAGCATGGCTTTTGCTAGTCAAGAGATGTGTTTAAGAACAACATGATATAGTCAAAGGCAAAATGCTAGTTTTAAAATCAGTTTTCTTATGCAGAAATAGATATATATATGCTGGTTCAGACCAACTTGTATATTATGTTTTTATTGCTTCCTGTCAGAGTTCAGGCTGAGATTTGGAAAGCTGATTCCCTAGCAGGCCCAACACCACCTCTCTCACTTTATGAGAAGTTCTACTCTCATGGCAAATACATTACAAAAAGAATTTAGGTTCTTCTACTCAAGTATTAAGATAGGCATACTTAAGATTATTTAAAAAGCAATCTCGTTAAGTACATTAAAACATTTAAGTAAGCATACACATAAAGAGATAAATACTCATGTGTAATTGGAGATGGAATAACTTCAAGTGAAGACAGGTTCTTTTTTCACAGTATAAAATACATACATATGAAAATAAAAACAGCTAAAGGAAAAAGTTAAATAGGTCAATTTCTACGTCAAAAATAGAATTTAAATAGTGTAGCAGAGAAGGAAATACTGAGTAGGATGCAAGAACATTTTGGAAGAGTTTACTTATACCTTAAATAAATATTTTTATATTTAAATAATAAATTTAGGTACCTTTTAATATTTAAATAAGGATTTTTAAAATGGTAAGTGACACTGTTAAAAATTTTTCTGGTTCCCAACTTCCTTCACACGTCTCAAATCAGAGAAGCAAAATCTGAGATACCCAAGATGAATCACCACTTTTGACAGACCATGACAGAACAAAGTAGTGAAGTTCCCCCTATCTTGCTCTGATCCACACAGAGTCTCATGGGGCAAAAACAACCCCTCCTTATTCCCAGATCATGACAAATTGAATACCTACTCAAAATCATAAAAATGGTGAAGATTTATATTAAAAAGTTGAAAAGGACCACAAAAACCTTTCCTAACATCATTCTCAGGGAAGTCTTGCCTCTCTTTACAAGTATTCAGGGACTGGCAGAGTGCAAACAATAAAAATTAATCCCAAGTCACAGAAACTTGGCAGAATTATAGACAGGAGAAAACATTAGTATATAATGGAAAGAATTAGGCAATCAAAATGCTTGATGCTGACATCTCAACATCAAGTAAAATCTGTTCCAGAAGTTGAGCCAGACCCCTTTCCAAACCACCACTTTCCTTTTGTGTGAAGTTTGTGTGAAAAGTGAAGGTTTTGGAGATGTTTTTAGTCCAACCAAATCCTAAAGTCCCTTTCTCTACATTCAAGACAAACAACAGCCCCAAATCCTCCTGACTCAATATTAACCCACTGACCAACTGGTCTTTCACTATCAAAGCAAAAAAAGGCCTAAATGTTCTTTCTGTTCCTCAAGCTGCACAAAGACCCTCCTGCTCCCCTTCCTTCTGGCTGCAAAAAGAGAAGTTCCAAGCATCTTTTCCAAGGGTTTGTTGAAAGGGGTCTCAGGAAAGTTCTTTTCAGCAGTTCTTCTCAACTTTCATCCCCTTTCAAGAAGTCAAATAAACCCTGGTGTTGGCCACAGGAATGGTCCTTTTAAAGAAATTTTTGTACTGACCTGGTAACAATTTTGGGAGGAGTGAATTCTGTGTTTTGAAGAGCAAAATGAATATAGTGAGGCTTTAATCATCCAACAGGCAGACTGTTGGCCTCCACTTTACACAAGGCAGCAGGAGGACATTTTAAAGCAGGCAAAAGTATTTTGTGGGGCTGTGCAACAGGAAGCCCAGTTTGGGTACACAGTGATTCTCCAAGCCCTGCTAGAAGTTTCAGATTTGTTGTAACAATGACACATGTTGTCATTATATTGCAAAGGTTTCATATTGTTGTCTCCTTATTGCTAGAGTTCCATACCTCCTTAATTTTTCTTGTAGGCAATTCCTCTAAGCACTGACTCTTCCTTCTTCTCACAGCAGCCAACTGACCACAGTTTCCTCTCAACCAACCAATCGACTCTTTTATAACATTCTCCCTATTGGCTACAGCTGTGGCCTGTTAAAATCAGGCCTGCACCTAATCCTTAATAGTTAACCCAGCTGCAACTCTTTAGGGGTAAGATTACTTTCTATACTACCTTTATTTATTTATATTCTATCCCCCTACAGACACATGTGAGATGTATATACATACATAATGTTCCTGGGGTTTGGGATCAGCAGATAAGATGGACAATGAAGGCTTAGAGGCCTTTCAAAGAATTTTTTGCTGAAAGAAGTGAGGTTCAGGCATTACAGACTGTCATGGTTTGAGCCTGGCACAGAGCCAGTGCCCCCCATGAAAATGCCTCACCCTGGTGTCTGCTGTGAGATGTGACCAGGAATAAGCAAAACAGGCTCCAACTTAAACATAAAGGACACTTTATTACTTAAACTACAGGAAAAATAGGGAAAGACCATAAGGAAAAAGAAGAAAAGAATTGAAAACCTTACAAAACCACTTTCCTCCTCCCCACTCCCTGACTTTCTCAATCCAATACATTCTCTCAAAAACACCAACTGCCCAGCCCGGCACGACACTTTAGTATACTCAAACTGCAGTTCATGAAGAGGAAAGGAGTCCTTCTTGTTCCATAGGCTTCTCCTGGAAACACACTAAAACCTCGGATGCTTCCTTGTCACTTCGGCACCGCCCGGGAAAAAAAAGTCCTTTTGCCGCTTGTGACATGTTCCTTCCATGCCCAGTGCTCTCACCACTGAGACATGGCCAGAGCTGCTTTTAGGGTTGTCTTTCAAGGATGCCTTGTCTCACTCCAAAAAGGCACAGTCTCTGCTTTTGGGACATCTGTCCCCCCCATATTTTTCCAACCCCCTGGGGCCGGGGGGTCCTCACGAATGAACCCTCCTGGTTTTGAGGCACTGCCTCCCCCTAAATGCAGTCTGTGTCACAGGAACAACTGAGTCCATGGCTACAAGAAAAAGTCCAGCCAAAAGGCCACTCCAAATCATCTCTCCCCATCCAATCATCTCCACGTTCTTCGGGCCAAGGTCCTTGTCTTATCTCATCTCCTATCTCCCTTCTTATTCAGCTTCGAGGAGGATTAGCATTTTTGCAAGGCCCCAATCATGCAAGGAAGGGTTAAAAGTTTTCAGTCTCTGTCGGTCCGGAGCGACTCCCACGCACGCTGCCCACACGCTGCCGCTCCGGCCGGGCACTCTCCCTCCTTCTCCTCCTGGCTGGCTGCTCTCCTGGGGGGGGGGCTGGCTGCCCGAGGGCTGACTCTCTGGGATCTTCCACCCTTCCATCCTCGAAGCCCCCCCGAAGCCCCATCAACCCCATCTCTGTCCAGGCCCCGGGCCTACCGCATGGCCGGCCCCTCCCCCGCCCAGCAGCAACAGGCTGGGCGGGGGAGAGAGATCTGAACTCCTCGCCGCGATGTCCAAAAGAGAGAGTGCCAAGGGCAGTGCCTTGCTTTTAACCCCTGTGTATTCTCGGAGGTGTGTCCAAACCCCACTGGCTACACCAGGTGTCAGTATCAAACCCAAAACCTTCATTGGTTTGACCACAGCTTCCCAGAATTCCCACTCCTTCCTGGTCAAACCACGACACAGACTAAGAAGCTTAAAGAATTTTCCTAACAGGTCTTCCAGCAGTTTGTTGAGGTAAAATAATGTTTGTAATTTTGTTACTGATAGTGAAGTCAAAACTGCAGTAATAGAGTGTTTTAGGACAACTTGAAGATCCAAGATATGGAGGTATTTTAGAACTCACAGTCCCTTTACCACCCTGTTAGCCACATTTATGAATTGCTCTAATGGCAGCTTTCAGAGGATCGTGTGTATCCATCCTGCTGGTGTAAACCCTTCAGCTCACTGAGGATTTAGCAAACAGTGTATGGGGGCTTAAAGGAAAAACACCTCTTTTTACAAAAAGAGACCATGTGTGGGTGTCTAAAACCAAAAGGACTCTTGAGAAACATTGGGAACAGACATTACCTACTTAAATTTTCATACTACTTCAAGTTATTAGCCAGGTATAAAGGATGGTGTTCAGAAGAAAAGATGGTAGGATAAAAAGATTGTTGACCTTTTTACCCAAAGAATTACAGAAAATTAATACCAAACATAGCAGATTTCACATGACTGGAAAAAGATAGGTGTGGAAGGAAAAGATTGTTGGTTAAATGGTTGGCATTTAACTACTCAAGTCAAAAGCTTTTGGAAGTTGTTTAAATCTATGTCATTTAGATATTAGGCACTGCTGGAAGAAAATAAAAGCAATAAAAGTCTTAACATGTTCCTGTCCAGAAACACTGTATTTGACTTTTCCTATAAAACATTAGTTAAGGTTTTACAGAGCAGGTAATTAAATGTTTGCAGATCCACTGCCCTTATACCTGGAGTGGCAGCAACAGTGAGATTTCCTTTCAAACTGTACTTATGAGCAAGAAAAGAAAGTATTTGGTTTGATCTTTCATATTGAAATGAAAAAAGTTGCGCCAATTCAGTCTGAACATCCAAGGCTCCACAATCAGGCAAATTACAGAGAAAAAGATCCTGATAAGACTAACATATTTCATACTGGTTTGAACAAGCCAGCATCTTAAGTTGCTCTCAATTTAAAATATTTAGAAACTACTCTTTACCACAGTGATCTCCAGAGGGTTAAACTTCTTGTATGATTTGCATGGATATGTCAGGACACAAGTCTGTGGAGACCTTCTCTGTGAGCCTGCAAACCCCACCTCTAAAGGACAGCCTGTTTGCACTGACTGCATGTGAAAGTACTTAGGCCACAGTGAGTAAAAATAGAATTACATTTGAAATCAAATCAGGCCAAATAAGATGCATCTCATTTTGTTTCATAAAAAATGGAGAACCCATCACTCTTCTCCTTTTTGAAAAGGTGAGAGGTAGTCGTTCCATCCTTTCACTCACCCAGGACATGAATGATGTGCTTGAATTTCCTTCGTGGCAGTGAGAAAGCAAATCTATGTGTGGCAGAAGAGCTGCAAACGAGCATCTCTCTGTTCCTAATCAAGGTCACTAGCCTGTCCTATGTTCTCATGGCTAGAACAGTATTTTGACACGTGTTCCAAGGACTATAACAGGATATTAAACAGCTAAAGAGCAAAATATAATTCCAGATTCATCTGCTAAATTTACTGAATTATGAACTACAGGAAACAGACAGCAAAAATCTTCTCTTTGCCTGATCTTCATGGAGCCAGAAGTCTGAGGCCTACTGACACTTCATTCTGGCAGAGTGTAATTCTTTGGGTTGAGTGTTTCAGGGAATATTTTTTCTGTTTCTAAGCTTTTTCTCTTTTCATACTGACAATTTTTGTCCAAGAAGCAAGACTGGAAATGATACAGGAAGGAATAGGAACCAAGTATATAGAAGTGATTTGTAATGATGCAATTTCCCATATGAACTGTAAAAGCCTATGAAAGGGCCTGGTCATTCTTTGCATCTTGTCTAGTTCTGCATTAGATTCTTGTAAAGAAATTATTGTTGCTGGTTGTGGCTACTGCAGATGAGGTCCACCATGACCAGCACCAGCTTCAATGGTGGGGTTAATCAGATTATAAGGCACAGGTAACCATTCTGTAGCTTCTCCAGGCAGCTCACACTTCAAAGGAGCAAAAGCTTCTGTCCAGATAACTATAGGAAGAATTCTCTCTCCTGGATAAAGCAAAACCCTACAGGGATACAGCCTTACAGCAGGCTCTTCTCTGTGGTGCCAGGCAGGAGGAGAAGAGAGAACAGGAAGAAACTGATGCACAGGAAGCTCTACCTGCACTTGAGGAAGAACTTTACTGTGCAGGTGACTGAACACTGGAGATATTAAAGAACCATCTAGGGACTTGGTTTAAGCAAGGAGGTTGGACCAGATTAATCACTGCTCTTCCAAGCTAACATACCCTGTGATTTTGTGACTGATTCTGTGAAGTGCAGGTTGGCATCTCCCAGATAAGGCTGTTCAGACTGCTCCCCACACCATCACTCAAGACTGGAATGCATATTCCTCACCTTTCTGCAGATCATATTGAAATCATTCCAGTTCAAGTCTGTAGCATTGTGGGGGTCAAACCACAGCAGGTAACCTCCAGCTGGAACTTTTGAGACACATTGCCATATCCACATAGCCATGGACTAACATTCCATTATGGATCACCTCATATGCAGGATCAGTCACCTGCAGAGACCCCCGCTGCCAGTGTCAGACATGGGAGCTGCAGCTCGTTCCATGTCTGAGGAGAGGCTGGCACACAGCAGGGTGTGGGTATGATGCTCAGGGTACTGCAGTGCAGCAGCACTGCTCCCATGAGCTGCTCTTGGCAGATGAGAAAGGAGCAGTGCACAGCTGCTGGGGGTCACTCAGGGGAAGGTACAAGCTGGGTGTTGTGGGGCTGATGAGCTGTTGCCAAAGCTCCCCTGGGAAGTGCTGCACTTGTCATTCACACAGTCACACACACCTGTGTTCACAGGCAGGGCTGGAGCAGCAATGAGGACACCGGGCATGCCAAGAACAGCCTGAGGAGAGAACTCTCACCTGACATTTTGGAGCAGAGAACAGCAGTGCTCTCACTAGTTTTAAGAGTCCTTTGCTACTTAAGTGAGGGTGACAACACCCTTCAAGATGGCTCTGTGCAGAGCCAGCAGTAAGGAGACCTATTCTTCATCCACATTAGTTTCAGGGACACAGGTTGATTTTAGCCTGGTGCATAATCCTGAGGTGCAGTCCCTTGTTGTACTCACCAATTGTTCACTGCCAGGCATTCCATGGTGATTTGTACATAGAGTGGCAATCTCCCAAAGATCCTTTGTCACAGGTTAAGTCAGGTTATTACTGTGACACATTAACATAACAGCTTATAAATCTCAGTTGTTTATATTTGCAACATCAAACCGCTGTGCAACAATATAGAAAGGAAATGGTTTTAAGATTAAACTTGTAAAAATATTGTATTGCCTATTATTTCAGGTTTTT